GGCCACCATGGTCACTGGATCATAGTACCACCTTGAAGCTTGCAATGATGTCTATAAATCCCACCCAACAGTTGGCCCTAACTCCAGCCGAATAGGCCGAAATTTCTGCTCAAAATCAACAAGTCACAAGGCCGAAAACTCCCATTCCAGCGACAATTTCTGCATGAATTGATGAAATTGAAGTGTTACCCATGGTTGTAGGGACGTGATTCATCCTCGACTGATTCAAATTGGCCAGAAACATGAATTGATACCATTGCTTCGTTCTCGCTACTACCGTATTTGAGTAGATTCACATCTCAACGAATTGGTGTATTATTGGTTAATGTTAGGACATGATATTGTTCGCCTGGATGAGGGCTATCGACTGTTGGTAGTGCGCAACCGTGGGCATCGTCAAAATGGGAGTTTTCTGGCAGAAAAGTGTGTGCGACATTTGTGTTTTTGGCTGGATTTTCTACTACCTCCGGTTGATTTTGTGGCTGATGGTTGGTTGGATATTGTAGAGGGGAATGAGGTGAGGCTTCTGGTGGTTGAAGCAGGTGGTTTCATCGCTGGAAGGTGGTGATTCCGGCAGTTGAGGAGGCTTAGGAGAGAGGAAGCCGAGGAAATGTGTTCACCCAGAAAGAGTGTCCATTTTCCACGTTTACCACAATTTTCCGATTTGGGCATTTTCTTCAGTAATTTTTCTTTTTTTGTTTTTGAAAATGCGTTTTTGAAAATGGGAAATCAAATGCATTTTCGACGTTTTCGAAAACTAAAAATAGAAAACGGCAAAGGGAACGCGCCCTTAAATTTTTTCATGGTCCAAATTGCAACCCGACCGCTGCCAACTACAGTTCTTGGGGACCGCAGTTTGCAGACCGTGGTCCCTTGCAACTATTATTATTTTTTATATTGGTCCCACTTCAAGTCTTTTTCGTCCAAATACAATGTTGGTCATGTAACTTTCAAAAGCTTTCTACTCTTCAAACTTGTAATTTTCCTCCAATTGCTTAAGGCTTCTTGTCAATTCTGTAAAATCTGTTTAGTCTTCAACGATATCAAACCAAGTCTAATTAAGTTCAAAGTTCTCATTTTTTTCCTAATACCTCCAAATTCAAATTTTATCCAAAATCTTTTATAATCTTTTATATTTGACTTAAAAAATATTATAATTTTTGAATTGTAGAGAGAACATACTGGAATTGATGCTCAAAATTTGGAGTCAAAGGGATTAAGACGAGAAATCTTTGGGATGTATATAAATTTTTTGGGTTATCATAGTTTTGATTTTGAAGAGATGAGGTACCATGATTTGAGAAAGTTTGAATGGTTCCACGTTAATTTGGGAATTTTGGATGATAAATTTGGTGTATTTGATTTGGCCTTTTTGGAAGAGTGATATAAGCTAGTTAACCAATTAATTGTAGGAGTGAAGTTGTTTATAATATTTCACTCTCACTTACTAAAATATAATATTTATAGAATAAAAAATGTGAAAATGTAAAATTTGAATTAGTAAATAAAATGGGGTAAGACGTTTAATTTCCACTTTTATTAATTATTCCAAGACTTCAACATTCCTTAGTCCTTATTTAGCCTTAATTTGACAATCATTACTTGAAAACTTTTTTTTTCTACATATTCATTTTTAACCACACAAGAAAATATTCAACACTTAAATTCAAAATTTTTTCCTATTTTTTAATCACACATTCTCCTAAAAATCACTATTCAAAATATATATATATATATTTTTTTCAAATAATGACCATCATCATACAAGAGCTTACTTTGAGAGTAAAAAAACACTCACTAGGACATGAGTGAGGTCATTATATTCTCGTCATAGTTCTCAATTTTTTTGTCACATTCTTGTCATTGACATTTCATCAATAAACATATCTTATTCTTGATGACGGTTTCTATCCAAAAAAATATCTGTTAAGAGGGCAAAAAGATTTATGCCTCTCTCTTTTTAAAAAAATACAACAAATACAACTAAATATCGTTCCTCATTTCAAAACATGCTAATAGATTATTTTTATAGACATCGAAAATTGTGCTAATTAATTGACAATTATAGGTAAGAACCCAACGAATAAAGTTCAAAACATAAATACAATAATAAGCTGCGGATAAAAAACTTTCATTTCAACTAAATTGTGAGTAAACATGGATTAAAATTTTTAAATAAATGGTTCCATCTGATGGAAGGAAAACACTAATCTAATGTGATAAAAAGATACTAGGAAAGAAGTGAAGGAATATCATGCAATATTTGAATAAAATTTATCTCATAATAAATTAACCAACTTTTCACATTATTTACATTGAACAAAAAATCAAAGAATATTAAATTACTCATTATTACAAATATGAACCTGTAAAATCTGCTCCAAGCTCTAGGACAACTACTTAAAATGACCAAGAACATAGACCAGGACCAAGGACATTGGGTACAACAAATAAGCCAAGAATGATGTCCAAACAGGGAAAACTTTCCTAAAACTGGCAAGGCATCCCATAATAACAGAAACAACCAGAACCATCAAAACCTCGGCAGAGAAATTCCATGTTAGACCACGAAAATAGATGAGGGAAAGAAGAACTGCCAAGCCCAAAATGTTGTTCATGAACACAGTACCATATATCTGCATTATTCAAAACAGCCGTGTAAATTCAATAAGCAAAATGCAAAGATAATTACATATTATATATTAGGATAAGGATTGGGACGAACCTCAGAAAATGTCAAGGAAGAAAGCTTTGGTTTCTTTCGGCGGGCTTCAGTGATCAGAGATATTGTTATCCGAGCATTTGTAGCCAATGGGACGAAAATGAAGGCAATATGGAACGAAGAGACGCTTGCAGTTTTGGATAAATTGCGAACACTATCAATAAGAGGTTCAGCTAGAAGACCTAATATAACAATCCCGAGCACCAAAAGAGTTATAGCCTTCGTCCAGGCAAGTGGTGATTTATCAGTGAACTTGTCCTCTATCAGCTTGTCAGTCTGTTCCCATGTTTCCTGCACAATATTTACAAAGATTTCATAAGGATCAGGAATAAAAAGAAATGATAAAGCAGTCTCAGAAATAGAAAACTCGAGAAGGTTGTATTTACTTTATAGTCATCTTCTTCGCTCTTCTCGGAGCTAGCATATGGATTAGAAGTTGTCTTTAGCCATTTGGACAATCCAGTGACAAATTCTTCCTCATCAATCAAATGATCTCCACTCATATCAAGTTCCTTCATTATTTTGGATGCTGCTGCATCCGCATCATAGGGTAATATGCCAGACCTCATATTAGTCATCAGTTTCCTCAATTCATGATATGATATGGTGTCATCTTTGTCAAGATCAATCTCCTTGAACAACCTGAAATTTAGGATTAGTTAGTTTAGCCGAAATATAATCTTCCAAAAATTATCATATAATTTACTAAAATTTACCTTTTTATAGCAGATATATCTGGAGCTCCATCTTCTGTCAAAAGACCGCCATACGCAATGCTTTGTAGATGTTCTAAAAGTTTTGGAATTAGAATTCTCATCGTTTCACGTTCTGCCCTTTTCTTTTCAATCCAAGGTTTAAGAACCTGTAGGAGACCATTTGAGGAAATAAATCAGAATAACAAAATGCTTTCAATTCTTCTACTAGATGCAATAAAATGTACGAGTATAAAGATTAATTACCTGGTATAAGCCTTTCATCGATTTAATCGAGTGATATCTTTTATTCAAAGTACCTTTCGCCTCGTCAAGCCATTTTTTCATTCCATTGACAAATTCATCTATGGTTATTTTATTGTCATTGTCATTATCAAATTCCTTCATCATCTCTGTTGTTTCATTATCGTTATCCAATAGTATATTTTCAGATCTGATTTCTTGTAGAAATTCTTGTAGTTCAGGGAATGAGATGAACTTGTCTCCATCACAGTCTGTTTCATAGAATAGCCTGCAAACAAATAATAAAGAAAATTATTAAAGATTATGCACTATAGTATTAGTACCAAAAAAAGAGGGGAAAAAAATGGTTCTCAAAAGGTACCTTCTAATAACTGACACATTTGGCGAACCGTTGTCAGTTAGAAGGCTTCCCATTGTACGATTCTGCACATGTTTTAGAACGTCTAAAACTAAGTGCTCGTGCTTTATGTATGACAAATGTCTCTTTTGAATCCATGGCTCAAAGAACTGCTCAATTTGTGAAAGAAAAATTTGAATGAGAAAAATAAAAATCGAAGTGGAAAGTAAAAACGTGTAGACAAAGCACGCAAATCCTCATATATGAATTTACCAAGGATGATCAGATAGCGTAAATGTAAAATATTTCCATATAGAACAGATTTTAAGTATGCCAAATTCTTGCTTAGTTACCCTCTCATATGTAAAACCGGTATTTGAACTGGATTGACGATGAGACTATTTAAACATCTAGCATTTCGTCTGAAGATCAATCCTCACCTCAATAGTTGAACCATAATTTTACTAGAGCCTAATTTCCCTCTCTAACTATGAAATCAATTAACTGATAAAAGAGCATCAAGGGGAAAATTTTAGAGACATTTCATACATACTCTTTCACAAACATGAGATCAAGGGAACAAAAGCAAATATCTAATTTTTACTTATCAATTCTTTTTATCAAACACATGGCGTGCACAATTTTTAATACCTGATAGAAGAAGTAACAGAGAAGGAAAATGACTGAAACCAAAAGGGTAGTCAGTATAACAATCCTTTCCCCAAGATAAGGTAAGTTGAAAATTCTTGGAATTTGGATCATTATTAATGGAATCACTGAACCAAGCATGATCCAAGCAGTATGGCATGTTTCCAAATCTGTCACTACACCATAACCTGTAGCACAATAAATGGAAAAGTAACATAAGAAAATTAAAAATCAACCTGTAAATAATCGAGAAAGGGAAAACGAAGACAAACCGTTTGATTTTGATAACAATTTCTCAACATGGTTTTGCTCTTTATGGTATGAAGAATTAGGGCCCGACTGATTGGAATAATGATGACCGCCAAGAATGACACAAGTTCCCCAAACTAGAGTGAGGAGCAAAATTGTTGATCCAGCAAGCAACCCAACTCCAGTTATGACGCATTCTTGAGCAGTTTCTTTACCGTTCAATAGCCCAGATGCTGTTGAGGGTGGACAAAGTCAGAACACAATTTCTTCTTGACAAAATTATACCCAAGAATATAAAAACCATTATCATAGAATCTTAAACAACCAATGCAACATTAATTCAATTTAAGAATCTAACTTTTTTTTTTAACTTCAAATAATGTGGGAAGTGATAAAAATCAAAAACATAATTTGAAAAGGCATTAGGAGAATAAGTAGATTAGTGCTTAGGAAAATATATAAGCACTTACTAAATAAAATGAAAGTTCAAGAATTTATTTGAGATACCGTTGTTTTAGGTATAGAAGTTCCTGTAAAAATGGGAAATGCTCTACCTTTGAGTGCGGTTTCCTCGACATAATTCGCTCACATACACGTTAAGTATATCTTAACATTTTCATATGATCTTGTAATAGGGTTTAGGCCATTTAGAAGAAGTGTATCATCAATGCCTCTCGAAAAAAAAAAAAAAAAAAAAAAAAAAAGAGGGAAAGACTTTCGACATAGCCCGACCAAAAAATTTCTTGACATAGGTAGCACAAATTTAGGATCTTACCTAGTAGGATCAATGCTTCAGGAAGAGAACCAATAACTTGAAAAATACTAGCACCAAAAACACCAGGACCAAGAATTTTGAAAATCCTTTCTCCTCCAGAGGCAACATAGGATTCTCCATGAAACAAAAGATATTCATAAACAATGATCAAGAACAAATGTCCTAAACTACTCTTTGAGCATGGTAAAAAACCATACATTTGCTTGCAATCTTCTCCCTCTTCTGCCCCATAATCCATACTTTTAAGACGTATAAACGAAGAATCTTCTTCTTCAGAACGATCATTAACGCCGTCTGAAACCAAACTAGAACCGTCCCGTAATGGCCGGCAACGCACCCCGGCCGGGGATAATATGAAAAGAAGAAAGATCGCGAGATAGAGACTTTTCATGGTGAAGGTGGATTAAGTTGAAATTGTGTGTTTTTTTCCAATTTATATAGGTGATTAATTTGATTAGCAGCCATGGATGAAAGTTCATCGTAATATCTTTTGTTGCTTGACCAGGTTTTTTGGAGGCTAAGAAAGGTTCTATGGCGACTAGTTGAACTTAAATTCCACAGAAAAGGTTTCTTGCAAGTTACTGCAACTAGGCTAACACGTGACTAAAATAATGGAAATTCTTATATTTATTATCATGTCTTTGCTTTTAGATTAACTTATAGTCAAAATTTATTTTTTAACGATACATTATTTTAATAAAATAATTTTATGCACGAACATATCATTTTTCTCTACTTCTACAAAATCTCTATTCGGTGTGCATAAAAATTTGACAAAAATCAAAATCAACAATTAATATGAATCATACGGGATTCACAACCTTTGTTAATTTTTTAACAACATATTTTATCAATTTTTATCAAAATATACTAAAATATGATTTTTAGCTACACCAAATAGTGAAAAAAAATTATTTTACAAAATATACCCTTAATTATCATATATCAATTATACCCTTAATTATAATTAATGTATATTTAATTTCTCTTTAAAAAAAAAAGTCAAAGTAGTTTGCTTGTGATAAATATGGTAAAAAGAAAAGTCGGCTTGGGTACAATGTATATATATAAATATGGTGATTAGGTAAAAGAAATATTGGAAAAGCCATCGTTAAATTGTTGACATTATCTCTTTAAACTTGACTAGTTCAATTGAATATCTAGACTAATTACTCGAAATTTGATCTACTAAAAGTCAACCAGGCAATTCAGCTAAGGAAATATCAATAAAGTGAATTATTTAATTAGAATATATGTATAGTTTAATTCTTTTACGTTAGTAGTGAAATAAAATTTCCAATAGATCCCATTTTTTGTCATAATGAATTTCATCGATAAAAAGATTTCTTCGTCTTAAGGTGGACATTAGGGGTGTCTCATGTTCACGTTCAAGTTGGATTAACTCAAGTCCTAGTGGGATCGAACTAACTTATCTAAAATATGATCCGTACTTAGCTCAAACTGTAGCTTCAAAATCTTGGATCGAACTAGCTAGCTGATCAATATTAGGGTTAGCCGAGATAGTTTGAGCCAACATGTAATTTTTAAATTTATAATTGAGAAAACTAAAATTCTTATTAGTATACTTTAAAATTGCATCATTATAAAAAAAAAAAAAAAAAAAAATCCTTCCTTTAAAAATCACATTTCAAAATTAACAAACTTCTAGAAATCTTTCCAAAATCAGATGATAATTACATTTATTAAATATTTAATTATAATATAATATAATTAATCTGCTTATCCCACCCTACCTCCAACTCACCCAACCATCACATCAAACCCTTCTCTTTTTCTCTCCACCCCACCCACCTCCGACGACTTCTTCGGCGACAGCTCCGGCAACTTCTCCGAGGACAGCTCAGGCAACAATTTCAGCAATCTTTTTAGTTCCAACAACAATTCTGACGAATGTTCCAACGACCTCCCGACGAATATGTGGTTAAAAAATGTAGTTAAAATGGTTTGAGTGATTATAATTTATAAACAATTATAAAAAGGTGCAAACAAGGAAATGTTGAAAATTGATTTGAATATGTTACTGCATTAACTTTGCAGGTTCCCAGTACCTTTGTTTCTGGAAGTTATCCATCCTAGGTTAGAGAATAACTACTAGAGAAGTTTCGAGGCTATGAAACACGACATTGAAGTGATGCTATCTAATGCCATGTCATACTTTGGAAGAAATACAGAGTTTCTGCAAAAATGGAATGCTTGTCCACTATCATCATTGTAGTCAAGTAAAATACAGCCCCATTTGGTCCCATTAAATTTAATTTCATTTTTCTCCCTTTTATTTTTAATCACACAATTTTTAATAAAATAATATTATACGTAAATCGAATACTTTTTCTTCTTCTCCTGCTGTCATTCATTCTTATAAAAAAAAAAATACTATTCCACCAATTTTAATTTGAAAAAATGGGGGCCAAATAGGTGCACAATTTTTAGCTTTTACGTAATCTTTCTATTTTAAATCTCTGATTCTTGTTCTTTTTACCCCCTAGTAGTAGTTTTGGGTTTTTACAACCTGAAGGTATAGGCGTAGCGAAATTAGCTGATTAATTAAATATATTAAATTCACAAATCTTTTTTTTTCTAGTCAATAACCTGTGACCTGTGTACATTGTGACATATAAAATATGATTTTTAACTTGTAATTTGTTACTCGTGACTTGTAACATAAGATGTGACCTATAAATTTGATCTGTGACTTTTACAACATGTGACCTATTAATATTGATATGTGATCAGTTTATACCGATTTGTAACTTGTGAACTCAAACTTGTGACAAATGAATCGTTACCTTAACGACGAATTGTGACCTGTAATGTATGAACTATGACCTTATGTGTTCATGACCAAATTTCAAAAATTAGATTTTTTTTTTCAAATTTTATTTATTAACTAATTTATTAAACATATATTTTATTAATTAAATATATTAAGGAAACAATTCTGTACAATTTGATCACAATTTATAAATTAATTGGTTACAAATTAATTTTCGATCACAACTCGTCAAATTATTAGTCACAGCTTATTTCTCAATCACAAATAAAAAAATTTATAGGCCACAGATTATTTATCGATTACGAATAAAAAATTTTATAAGTCACAAACTATTCATCAGTCACAAAATCAAAACTTTTATTGATCATAATTCATTTATTCATTGAAAATTATCATATTAATTAGCTACAAGTATTCATTGCAACTCATTTTTAAAAGTTTGTAACCTATTAATATGTTGACTGTGACCTTTTATGACCAATTGTATTAATTGTGATCTATTGTGACTAGTAATGTATTGAATGTTATCTGTTGTCTAACTATAATCTGTTATCACAAATATATTATCACAAATTCTATCCAACAAAAAATTAACCTAAATTAAATAGCAATTATAATACACAGATGTCATCCGTATTAATGTAACATCCATCGCTCGTAATATTAAAAATGTGAAAATATTGTCCCTCATTGAGTGGCTGAGTGGTGGAGTAGGTGAGTGCGGAGCCCTTTAGTCATGAGTTCGATTCCGCCTACCAACACTTTCTTGGTTGAGCTTGTCACACATGGCTTACCTAGTGTAGTTTACCTGGTTAGCGTGATTTGCAGGCTATTTCATCAACCCGAAGATTTACTCAGTGTGCACCGGAAGAGTAGCGATTGCAGATTCCTCCGTCATTAAAAAAAACAGAAGAAAAAAAAGTGAAAATATTCATCCACATGTACATAATGACCAATAATCAAATCACATACTAATCACAAAACTATACAAGATAACAATCACAAAGACAATTTGTATATCATAATTATAAATTTAGTCTCAAATTACACGTTTTTATATGTCACAAATTATTTATTGGTAACAACTTATTAAATTAATTTGTTTCAACTTATTTATAAATTACAAATTATCAAATTAATTTATCATAATTTATTTATTTGTTACATAAACACAAATTGTAGGTCATAGTTACAAATTTAGTCACAAAATCGCATATCTTTTAGGTTACATTATTATTGGTCACAAGTTACTCATTGAACTTTGTTTGATGTACATAATTTTTGTACATCAAGGTGAGAGGCGTGGACACCCTTATGGACAAAAATTATGTATATCTAGAATTTTCTTTGCTCATTTTATTGGTCACAATTACCCAATAATTGATCAATTGGTTACAATCACTTCATTACATCTATTTATTTCTCACAATTTATTTGTTGTTTTGCTTTTAATTGAAAAATTCCAAGGCCTTCACCTCCGTTTCTGGTTTTGACATCACTAGCGCAACAACTCTAAATCCAATCTTCAACAAATCTTAAACTATAGCTCCAAAAATTATTTGACCGGTTCTATTTCTTCTACTCTTTGGTCTATTCAAACCATGGTTGGAAATAACCAATTAGGAGGCTCAGTCAAACTCCTAAAACCTGTAAGCGTTAAATCATCAGCAATTTGAAAAATCAATCTTTCTTTCAATAGTTTAAGAATTTTACTTTTCTCTCTAATTTTCCTCATCTTAGTACTTTTTCTTGATATTTCACACAATGATTTCAAGTTGTTCTACCTCATTGGTTCACAAATTTAACCAAACTTGAGATCCTGCCGCTCAACCACTTCTTCTCACCAAATTCCGACATCCATAATTTTACCCGATCGTTTCCTCTGATTTACCAAGTTTTCATTAGTTCAAAGCATCAACCACAAAGTATTCATTCTTGCCAGTGGTGGAATCGAGCTGTCTCCATCTAGTTGGCACAGATCCCTTCCTAGATACGGTCGGCTGACTTTTTTCTCTTCCCGTACTATCGTTATCTTGCATCAATACACACATATCTGACTGTGGTGGTGATTAGAGTCAGCGGCGGCTACAAATATGGCCTCTCTACCCTCCTACACACTAGAGCTCAACCAATCACATGATTTCTCCTCCGCAGCACTGGCAACAACCACCACAACATCACCTGCTGCGTCTGTCAAATCTGATTTATGAGAGTGTGCGTGAGTAGAGAGAGAAAATGTATGAGTAGGGAGCGGAAATAGAATGATATGTAATTTTAATTATAGGGTGGTTATTATTAGTATATTTATTAATAAATTTTAAAAAAATAATTATAACCTGATTAATGAAAGATTAAATTTAAAATCTGACTAATGAAATGTAACTTTTTTAAAAAGGTCTACGCGTAATTTTCTCTTGTATAAATACAAATGTAGGCTGGCCCAACCGAAAGGAGACAGGGTCCATTAATATTTCTATTCCTCCAGCCTTTAGTTTGATTTGTTTGGAACTGTGTTCTAAAAAGTTGACTTAAATGACGTCTAGGTGCGAGGCACGAATGAAATGCACGCCTAGACAATGAACGCGAAATTGACCGTTTAATGTGTGTAATGCTTATTAATTTTTTTATATTTTTCTTTTTTAAAAGTATTTTATTTGAATATAGTTTCAAGTTTTTAAAGGATTTTATCTGTATAGAAATTAAAAATGGAAACACTTTCAAACAAAA